TTTATCAATATCTCGCTGAAATAGGAGAGCTCGTTCAACATTCGGGTCATTTTGTAGAAAATGATTACCCAATTTTCGCCCTAATTCAAGTCCTTCACGGATGACTTTTGCTGTGAACGCAACTGGTTCAGACTCCTCTTCATCAGGATCACTGCCACGATCATTTGTTTCATTAACCATGTCAACTAAATCATTCTCATCTAGTTCTTTGTCCGCCATTAGTTCTACAATATCTGCCTCAGCAAAATCCTCGAAACCTTCTCCTCCCATTGTATGCGCCATCTCCGTTATCTGAGAATATTCATGCTCCAATGGTAATCTAGAATTTTCACCTTCAACTACATCTGGCCATAATTTTTTTCAGCAGGCATTGAGCGTTGATTGCTTAATCTCGGTATATGACACTCGAACATGCTTAACACAATCTAAGATTGTAAATTTTTTCCAAGCATCCATAATTGGGAGAGATTCATCATTTTCTATTTGTTCTAAAATATACCTGAAGGTTCGTTTGATGTACAGTGCCTTAAAAGTCGAAATTATACCTTGATCTAACGGCTGCAATAAAGAAGTCGTATTCTTGGGTAAAAATACAACTTGCACATTTTCGTGTTGTAAATCTTGAGGATTTCCTGGTGCATTATCAATTAAAAGAAGGGCCTTAAAAGGCAACCCTTTTTTACTTAAATACCTTTTGACGTCTGGGACAAAAAAGTTATGAAACCATTCATTAAAAAGTGTGGTAGTAACCCAGGCCTTCTTATTGGCCATCCAATAAACGGGAAGGTTGTTGATGTTTATTCCTTTAAATGAGCGTGGCGTTTTTGACTTGTTAATAACTAATGGTTTCATTATATGATCGCCTGAAGCGTTGCAGCAGAAAAGAACTGTTATACGACTTTCCGCTGCTTTATGACCACTAGCTGATTTGTGAGCTTTAGCCAAATAGGTTCTTTCTGGTATTTTTTTCCAAAATAACCCGGACTCATCAGCATTGAAGACCTGGTCAGGAGTGTAGGAATTAACGGCTATAATTTCAGCAAATTTTGCCGGATATTGTTGAGCTGCATCTGAATCAGCAGATGCTTGTTCACCTTTCAATCTTAGATTATGTAAAGAATGTCTTCGTTTAAATCTTTCAAACCAACCATGGCTTACAGAAAAAGACAGCTTCTTTTCAGCTGAAGAAGTAGATGGTAACTGATTCTTAATTTTTTCATAAATCTTCAAAGCCTTATTTGTAATTGTATTGGCATCAATTGGAATCCGCTTTTGAGTGGCGTCTTCTAGCCATATCATTAATGCTTTTTCCATATTTTCCATTGCAATATCTCTTACGTATGAAGCTGTGCTCATACCCGTAGAAGATCCAGCTGCTACACTTTTTCTAATGGAGTCTTCATTTTTTCTTATGGTCCTTATTGTGG